ATTCATAACACAATTTTAGTAATAAATAATAACAATATCACATCAAATCATACGATAATAATAGTAACAAATGATGACAATATAATAATTGATTGCATACAAATATAAAAATTATATATTAAATCATAACAAACTATTTTTCAATATTGAATTAACACAAAGTCTATCGTAGTTTACAAAACCATAGCAAATAAGTGTAAGGTGAGAGAAAAAAAAATGAAATTCAACTTTGAGGGCTGGGACATAAAAGTAGGTGGTTTTTGAGATTTTGTTTGAAGCAATTCAAGGATGTAATACTTTTCAGGTGTAGAGGGAGGTTGTTCCAATTAATCACACATTTGTATTGTACACTATTTTGAGCTAGACTTGTTTGATCTAGGGGGATATGCAGTTTTTCTCTCTGTCAAGTTTGGTAAGCTTGATATTGGTAATTCATAGCTAGAAAGCTATCAAACGTATTTGGTAGAGAATTACTGAGGAATTGGAATGTAAAAATATTGAGTTGAAGTCTATTTATATTGATAATGTTTAAAATCGTAAGCTTCATAAATAGAGGAAGAGTGTGCGTATAAAAGCTGGAACCAGTGGCCATACGTACAAATCGTTTTTGAAGAAGAATTAGGGGCTGCAGTGTTGTTTTGTAGGTGCATCCCCAGACAATATTTCCATAGATCAGATTTGGGTATATTAGGCTATTGTATATGATAATAATGGTTTGTTTATGAAGAAGATGTTTAATTTCCCTGTAATTCCAACAGTTTTAGATATTTTTTTACTTAACGTGTCTATATGGGGCTTCCAGGTCAATTTGTCATCTATTATTATGCCTACGAATTTGGCTTTGGAAAGTGGCCGATTTTTTTAAAATATGTTTGCGTCATTTCTATTGTAGGTTTTATTCTTATTACAGAAGATTAAGAAATAGTTTTTTTTTGCATTGACTCATAACTTGTTGGCCTCAAACAAAGTAACAACTTCTTGATTGGCTAGTTTAACAAAAGTATTAAAGTTTGATAACCTTGCCTGCAAGCTGAATTCTCGAGAATACATCTTGCCCCGCTCCCGTCAACCCTTTTCGAGTAGAACATCTAGGTGTTCAAGCCAATCACGCGCCAGTCTGGGGGTTTAGGGCGGGATATACGGGTTTGACGAAAGCAAGAAGTGCCGGGCCAAAGCAAAACAAACATGGCTACGCAGGAGGACGAACGCGTAGCTGAGGCTATTAAGTCAGTTTTAGCAGAATCTCCAATTTCTTTTTTGAAAGATGAACAGCGAGAGGCGCTTTGTGCATTTCTCGACGGCAAAGATGTTTGTGCATTTTACCTACGGGTTTAAGTCAAACCTTGGTAGGCGGGCACACAGCGTCACTTCGCCCAATCAGCTTGAAGTATTCTGCTGCTTATCCCTCCTTTCCCCGAAAGGATTCTCCTGCAGAAGTCCCAGATTGATATTGTGGAGAACGCATTAGAGTTCTACACAATCATCAATCTGGCTCTTGCCAGGTTAAAAGTTCGAGTGCGATAGGAAAAGATTTGAGTCGTCGGCAAATAAGATGAAGAAGATAGTTGGGGAGGCTACTGCAACGTCATTGATATAAATTAGAAATAGTAGGGGGCCCAGAATCGATCCTTGTGGTAGTCCATATTTTACCTTTTTAAGTGCTGATTTAGTATTACTGAGAGTTACTTATTGTTGTCTATCAGAGAGATAAGAGGAAAACCATTTTATTGCAGAGTCTTTAATGCTGTATCTTTTTAGCTTGCTAAGAAGAATAGAGTGATTTATAGTATCAAATGCCTTAGATATATCGAGAAAAATTCCTATGGTGTACTCTTTGTTGTTTATGGCTAAGGAAATTTTGTCCATTAACTGAGCTAGTGCCATAATGCTGGAATGGCCTTTTTTGAAGCCATATTGGTGTTTGTACAAGATATTATATTGATCTAAGTGTTTCAGGAGACGGTTATATGCTATGCTATGTCTTTGGAGGACTTTAGATATACAGGGCAGGACAGATATTGGTCGATAGTTGTTAACATTGAGCGGGTCACTACTTTTAAAGATGGGAGTTACTTTTGCGACTTTAAGTGATTGAGGAACAATTCCATTTTGCAAGAAGAGAGAAAGAATATGTGTGAGAGGGTCAATAATATAGGGCAAAGATAACTTCAGGACTTTCGCACTTATTCCATCATGGCCATCTGCTGAATCCTTTAAGCTTCTGACAATGTCTGAAATTTCGGCATTGGTTGGTGGTACAAAGTTCGATAAGGTAGAGTCTACTTGTGATGTGATATAGCTTAAAGGGTCTTTTGGAGCTTTTGGAATCTTACTTTCTAGAGAAGGCTCAGTATTAACAAAGAAATCATTAAATTTATCACAAATTTCATTTTTATATTTGGTAGTTTCATTACCAGTTAGAATTTTTTTGGGACCAGATGTTCTACCATTGTCACGATTCAATACTTCATTAATCAGTTTCCATGTTTTCTTGATATTACTAGTAGCATAAACTTTCTGTGGTAGTATTCTTTTTTTGTAGTTCTCAGAAGATGATTAAGCTTATTTCGGTACTTTTTGTACAAACTGTGGTTTAAAGGTGTGGGGTTCTTGACGTATTTTGGATAGAGTTTGTTTTTTATGCGTATTGACTTCAGTAGTCCGCTGGTTAACCAAGTGTTTTTCTGGCAGTACTGGGAGATTTTTGTGACTTTCTTTGGAAAGCATTTATCGTATATAAATCCATATCTTTCAAGAAAACGATTGTAGACTTTCTCTGCGTCAGTTTCGTTTAGTATGTCTTTCCCAACTGCTCCTGATAGGGATTCTGTGAACTTCTGGGTAGTCTTTATGTTTATTTGTTGGTAAGATATTTTTTCAGTTTACTTAGGTGGCGCCTCCACATCAGATATAAGGAATATCGAGAAAATGGTCGGATATATCAGTAATAAGGATGCCTACTTTATAGTTTGTACTTAGTGAGTTGGTATAAATGTTGTCTATCAGGGTAGCGGAGCAGGGCGTTATTCTCATGGGTTGACATATAAGTGGGTAAAAGCCATACGAACCATTGACATGGTCGGTGGTAGGCTGGTTTGTGTTGTTAAGTAGGTTAATATTAAAATCACCGGTAATATAACAAGCTGCTCTTTCCCTATTGATAGTGTTCATGGATTCCTTCATACATTCATTAAATTCTCTGATGTCAGTATTAGGTGGGCGATAAATACAGCCTACAATTGCTTTCTTCCCTTTTGGGCTACTGAATGAATATACTCTTGGTGCCTGTGTCGTCCATGACAAATTCCAGATCTTCTCGTTCTTGATAGAGAACATCACTTCTAATGTATAATAAACACCCCCTCCAGTTTTGTTCTCTCTGCAGTGGTGTATGCTCTTATAGCCAGGTATACTATAGTTTTGTGTCGAAATATCTGATAGCCAGGTTTCGGTAATGCAATGATTGAGAAGTTCTGATTAAGGGAAGAGAGATATTCACTGAGTTCAGCAAAATGACGTGGAAGACTTTGTACATTCAAATGGAACATAGATAGGGAATTACAGCTTAGTGTATTAGGAAAAGTAGTAAAGGTGTCAACTGTGTGATATTGAGAATTCACGTTCATGGTTACATAATAGTCATTCAAAAAATTCAAGTCAGGATCTAAGGGTGAAGTATGTGAATCATTATCAAGGTCATTTAGGTCAACTGGGTTAAAAAAAAGGGTGCTGAGTTGGGGGTTTGTTGGGTCCATGGTTTATTATGAGTGGTATATCGTTTTCAGACTTAACTTATTTAAGTTCCGAGGGCAGTTCAAGGATATCCGTCTTGTCTTGTATGTCTGGAGTCAGATCTTGAACTTCGGCGATCAGGTATTTCCACTCTGTGAGGTTCTCTTGGGGGGTGGATGAGGAGATTATAGAATTTCAGGTATGCAATGTCTCCTCTTTCTCTGGCCTCTTTCATCTTCGGGATGAGCTCTTTCCTCTTCTGGCGCACCATCTCAGAGAAATCCTCGTTGATGTAGATGTTACTTCCCTTCAAGTACTTAGCTCTCTGGATTGTGTCTCTGTCTTTGAATCTTAAGAGCTTGGCTACGAAAGGGCGCGGCCGACCACCATCTTGGAATCTACCATTCCGGTGGGCTCTCTCAATCTCTATACTCATGGGATCAAGCTTCAGTTTTTCCTTCATGAGACTTTTCATTTTTGTTCGCATTGGCTCCAGGTTTCATCCCTAGCGTTGGGGACTCCATCAATCAGGATGTTGTTCCTCCTAGACTGATTTTCTAGATAGTCTGCTTTGTTCTGGTGTGCCTGTAGATCTGCTTTGATTTGGGATATTTCAGTTTCAATAACCTTGACGTGATGTTCGTGGTCACGTAGGGTAGACTTGGTGTCGTCAGTTTCCTTCTGAGTGAAGTGCAGGCTGTCCTTGATCTCTTGTACTTCACGAATCAAGCTGTCCGTTCGCTTCTGTGCTGATTCAACAATAGTATCCAAAAATGATTTGAAGTTTCTCTCCTGTAATTCTTGCAGTTCTTTAACCATCGAAAGTGAAACACGTCGTCTTCTGGAGGTTTTATTGGCGCCATTCTGATTCTTAGCAATGGGAGGGGGGTCAGTCACTCGGCCTCTCTCTGGACTCTCTCTCCGAATACTTCAGGAAACAAGATGGCCGCCACGCGCAGCGCTCTAGCTCCGTCTTCAGTGGAGAGTGGAGCGTTCTAGTGGTGGTGTTCTGTGCCTTTCGTTCAGAGCTACCGGTGGAGTCTGTGCAGCGGTCTGTAGGTATCGGCAGGATAGCAGTGCAGCTTTTCTGACGGCTCCAGGCGACGACCTGGATCGGCGAATTGAGTCACCTTCTTGCGTAAAATTCGAGATCTAGTGCTGGGAAGTCTGGCATCCCTCTGGCTCAGCAGCAGCACCATTAGCAGCAGGAGCAGCACGAGGAGGAGGGTCCGCTTTCAATCGGTGTTGCCCTGGAACACGTTGACGGAATGGATGGAGGGGTCTCTGAAGTCCCACAGTCTGAAGGTGGTGTCCCGGGACGACGTCACCACCAGGCGCTGAGTGGGGTGAGTGCAGCAGTGGGTCAGCTCTGGCCTGTGAGAGAGTGCACGAGCTCTTAGGTCTCCACTTCGTGCAGGTTTGCAGCTCGGTCCCAGGACGCTGTCACCACCTGCTTCCCACCCACCAGCCAATCAGCCGCGATGACCACGCCCTGGTGGGACTTCAGCGTGGCAGTAGCGACCCGGACCGTAGGCACCTCGCCCCCCCCTCCTCCCGGTCTGAGGAGTCCTGGTCGTCATCTGGTCTGGTTCTGTGTCCTTGATGTCTTTTCAATTTCCAGCAGCTTTCAAAAACTCAAGCTCAATAAAGGTATTGTATGTACAATTAAAGAGTGACTATAGCAGTGACATATGGGAGATTTGGGAGAGATATGGGAGAACGTGGAAGAAACTTATTCTCAGATGAGACAGAAATTGAACCATGATGGTCTAAGATGATTTCTAACATTACTGTCCGCAGGCACATCCCACTTCTTCCAGTAGAATCTTCAGTCCTTTGGCCCCATGACCGATGGGGGTGGATGGCCCGTTCACTTCATACGCCAGTAAACTCCACTTATGTCCCCAATCAACCTCTTGGAAACTCTTGCATGAAGCATTTCGCTCCATCTTTTTTGTAATGTATTGTATTGTATTGTATTGTTTTGTATTGTATTACCGAGCTCATGTTTGTAACTTTGATTTGGGAATAGAGTGAATACAGTAGCTCAATCTTTTTATGTATATATTTGTTTTATATGCGTCTTGCGCCCAATTTTTCTTGTAGCATATTGAACCTAGCCTGGTGCCTGGAGTCAGGACTACCATGGGGAGGCAGCGTTTCAGATTTACCGTAGGCAGCTGAAGTCTGAAAATGTGAGACAGGCAAAGGATTTTATCTTTACTCTTTCTAATGCTCTGTGGCTATTTATGATTTTAATCCCATGTATATTTGAATGTCCCAAGGTTTTATTACTTGTGTGATTTTATTTTCTATGTTTTTTAGTATTTCTTGTGATCTCAGTATGTTTTAATCATATTAGTGTTTGTTTATGATTTTAAAGTTTATGATTAATGCCTGATGTGATATGGGTTGTGAGGCTTTGTATTGCCTTGCGTAGTAAAAGTGTGCCGCAAATTAAAGTTGATCGATTGATTGAACCTCTTCTTGTGATCTTATTCAGATGCAAACCATCCAAACTATGAACTTACTTTTATTCAAGTGGTGCAACATAGAATTGGGACTGCATGAGATTCATATTTTATAACATTACATAATCTTGACTGTGATTTTTGAAAAACAAAGTCTAACATTTCACTCACTCTGCAACATTACATGAATATAGGCTGAAGTATATTCCAAGGCCTGTAAGTACACTGTACAGGGGGCACAACATCACAGCAACTTTAATGAACAAACACTAACTGAATTTGACATCCAATGAGATCAAACCTCTTCATCTCACGCTCTGAAGCTTGCATCCAAGACATGTTTGCTCTTAAAAAGCGGGGGAAAAAAAGAATAATAATCAGAGAATCATCAAATACCTTTTTCGTCCGCGTTGCTGCCAAGACACGAAGACTTGTTGTTTCATCGGAGAAGGTTGGAGTAAAGCTTGAAGTGAAGCTCGAGTCTTTTCGTGCTTTCAAAGGCGCTCTTAAATGGATGCTCTGCAGACGGAGGAATGAAAAGAGTCTGTTTTTCAGGCACCACCTGCTGGCAGCTTAACGATCCATTAGCACTCGTAGGAGAAGCCATTATGTGTCATTAATGGGACAAATTGCCTTTTTGAGTGGGACACGTAATAGGGATGCAGGCGTGTTCTTGTGATGAAATATTTGGCCTTTTGATGATAAATATAATCAAATAATTGCACTGGTAAAGCAGGATATGACATTTTCTTGGCGTTATACTTTATAAATTTAACATGAATCTATTTTATTATATGTTTTATTTGATTGCCTTCTGTTCTAAATGAACTGTTACCGTGGTTTTATGGCGCTTTTTATGAAACAATCATTTGATATGGTGCATTGCGAAAATGTTTTCTTTTTTTTTTTTTTTACATTCTTGAGCCCCAAATGTGTTAATTATTATAAAATGAGTGGAGTACAGATTCGCACATCAATACCTACAGATCGGGTGCGAGGAGAGGCCTTCATAGCCTAATGTGATAGAGAGAACGATTCCCGCACACCAACTTACTTGCAAATTAAAAATAATTTATTGGAAGTGCGACCATTCGGTGTTATGCCTTCAACAAGCAAATCTTTCTCCACATCACAATTATAAAATGAGGAAATTTACACGAGAACTTCCAGAGCAGTCAATATGATGGCTTTTAGTTTTGGAAGCGTATATACTGGTCATCACAACAGTTTTACTTTGTTAGAATTTTTTTTCTATGTGTAGTTTAATTCAATGCCATTTATTTATTTTTTTATCGAGTATAAGACCATAGTTACCATAGCAACACACTGTTTACTTGCCAGCA